ACACATGCACACCCTATGTGTTAGTAGCTAATATATGTACACAGAAAAAAATACATCACGATGAAGATTTTATAACTTGTTATGATTTGAAATAATCGACAAATATCGAGAAAGATAAGAATCATAGAATATCTTTTGCAAAGAATTCAGAGAAATTCTATAAGCGGCGGATGATTAAAATTTAGTAGGAATATTAGCTTTTTAAATATCATACCCTATTCATGCATTATCAACTAAAGACCTAGCGAAAATATTTTAAAATGTTTCCAAAAGCTACAAAGAAATTAAAATAATATATCTTTAATTTTTTGAAACAAATAATCTAATGGAATATATAAACATAAAAAAAAAACCCCAAAACTTCTTTTAGAAAATGAAATTGAAGCAACCTAAATTTATTTATTCCCTAATTTCCTATTTCATATTAATTTGAAGCCCAATGAATTTGTTCTGAAAATGTTTTATTTTTTCTGTGTATACAAGTATTTTAGTTATAAGCATATGTATTTATGCATGTTGACTTTTAATTACTGGAGAGGCAATGAAGCTTGCAGCAAATTCAATAGCATAAAACACAATTAAGTGTGCTTAAGTCTTTAGCCCATAAGCAGCCAATTTGCGCGCGCGTGGCATTCAAAGTGATACACATATATACACACACCACTCCCCAAGCATATCTCTCCGTTTTGTAGGCAAACAGGCATCGAAATTCATTGAGCTTTGAGTTCAAAGTGTTGCACATTACGCATCATTTAAACAGCAGCATCAGACCCGCGAAGCCGCACGAATTTTGCCACACCAACCAACCAACCAGCCAGCCAACGAACCAACAACAATGATGCCGCCAACGACAAGGGAACACACAAAGAACAAAAAAAAAGAAATAAGAAATGTGGCAAAACAAAAGCGTGAAAATTACAAAAGTTTTCTTAATTGTTCAACGCTGCCGTCGACGAAAATTAAGCGCGAGCATGCAAAGTCATTGTGTGAAATGGCAAAGGCGGCTCAGACTCAGGCCCAGATCCTGGCCCAACTGACTGACTGTCTGTCAGTCATTTGTGGGCGAGGCATAGTGTGAGATTGGGTTTGGGCATGCGTAATGATTAAGCAAATGCCAACACATGTCACACACACCCGCCACCCATACCCGTATATGCAAGCATTTTAAGCTTTTAGCCTGGCTCGTAAATTACAATTGCAAGCAATTGAATTTTTCACATACCTTAAGCCTTGGCCGAAGCTTAATTGCAGTTCTTGAACACCATATTTAAATTTCAAAAGCTTTGATTGCCTTAAAAATATGCTCAATATTTTGTAGCATACTTATGCGGGTAACGAGCACAGCTGGTTGATCAATGTGCATTTAAGCCCACTCACACACACACAAACACACACACAAATGCACACACAAGCACTACGAATATTGAGCTTAAAATTGCATCATGTAAAAACTCCCTAAAGCAGTCAGAGACTACAGTGGGTTTAAAAATCAGATTTTGGGATTGTGAGATTTTAATTGTATTAAATAAAGCTTTAAGGTTGTCCGATTTCGAAAGGTTACTTGTGTGAAAAGCATGTTTCTGATGGGGTTTTCTTAAATAAAGTTATGCTGTTGCTTCCACATCAATTTCAGAATGATTTACAATTATTTTAGTTTAATTTAAACTTAATTTTATGTAGATTTAGATCCCTAACATCTGACTAGCCTTTCTAATGTAAGCTTCCCTTATTACATTAAGATTTATTAGCATATTTTTATTCATATTTTTATGGTTACATTTTATTTTTAGGTTGGCTTTATTAGTTTTAATTTTTAATTGATTATATTCTTGCTAGTATCATTTGTATTTTACCTTCAATATTAAATCATCATCTTGTCAACTTATTAAAAATTAAAAATAATGATTCATCCAAATAAATGCCAATTTAAATTAATGTTAGCATTGTTTTTCACACATGGCAATAAAAATATATTTTACGCCCTGTCTTAAAATATGTTTTAGTTTCTAAATGATTGGTATTCCACTCAGTTTTAGAATTTTTAGTTCGCTTTTAGTTAAGAATTGAGATTAATTCAGTTTTTTTTTTAAATCCATCGCATCAAAAAATTTATCAAATAAGAACAAAAACTTTATTTACAAAGGACTTCCTTATTGTACAGATTGATACTTAATAAGGCTCTTAGTTTTGTTTGTAATAATCAAAAGATAAGTCCATCATATTTATAATTACGTATGCCTTTGTGCCAAACAGTGTATTAGAGCTTTAAAGGGCAACTTTTAACAAGTGAAATGAATCATAAAATCGTAATTCAGCTTTTGCGAAGGAAAAGAAGACCTGTTGCCCACAGTAGGTCCACCAAATTCCTCTTCTAGATGCTGGCTGCCCTTTTGTTTAATGAAGCCGAAGTTATGTTGGTGAGGCGTGCAAGTGGAAAAACAGTTTTCTGAATGAATGCAAGTTTTAATCCTTGAAATATGATTTGAGTGCAAATATTTTGCATAACCATGAGCCGACACACATATGCACAAACACACATACATAACCATACACTGTCACACAGATACACTTGCGGCTTGCCTTTGCTGTTCGCCTTCTGCCTGTCTCTAAAGATGTGTGTTTCGATATGTGTGCATTTTGAATGCCATGTGATGTAAGCAATGACACAATTCTGCCAACATATAGTACATGCAACACACATACCTAGAGTCCCTGTATGTGCCTGTGTGTATGCTCTTGCCAACCGCAAACACTTCACACACTTGAAGGCTGCCTGCCGTATGTTGAAGCTCGTCTACGTTTTGGGTGCTGGCTTCGTTGCCATTTGAACAGCAGCCGTTGTCTCTTCGAGTTGGGGATGTGTTTTCACGATCGCTCACGCCCACACTCACGCACAACACGTTTTTGAATGATTAATTAAAGTGGTCGAATTTAAATGATTGAAAATGACAATTCAGCTGTGCTTTCACTCTTACAACCAAGAAGTAAATGCATGTAAAGTCATAGTTTAGTTATATTTTTAAAAATAATGGAATTATAGTTTTTTTTTGCATATTTACATTTTTATTAGTAATAATCGTCCTACTGGAGCATTGACAAAACGGCTTAGCTCCGCTTACATTTTCAAAATAATAACTTATTTTGATGACCTACATAATAACATATTTTACGATTACATGTTGTCACGCTACAAATATTTTAGTTGACAAACTATTTTTCTAAAACGTCCACATCGATTGATATATCGATATTGCACTGAAGGAATTACATGATGGTTTCATTTCGGTACATTTTTGAAGTCCATTATCACGCATCACATCTCTTCTGAAATTCGGAGTCCCTACCTCTCCCCAACACTCTTAAATGCAAAAGCATTCAGTTGCGCAAATGTGGTATGTACCATCCATTTCTAATTGAAACTAAGTAAAAGGCATAGGAATTGTACCGCAAATACGCATAGATGGCGGCGACTAAAGGCAGAGGTTGGCTCACATACCTTCGACCACAAAACTGTTTTAATGAGCAAAGTTTTTGGGGCCAGCTTGCTATGCACAAGGCGCTTAACTGCAGCTCCAAACTGAATGGCAAACCCAAGCGGACGAGCACGCTTCTCGTCACTGAGATGACGAATGCATGACGAGTGTATTTAAAAGTGATTTTGACAGTCAAGTGCACAAGGTTGTAGTTGTTGTTGCTGCTCCTCTTCCGGTTAGAAGGTGACTCAACTCAAAGTCAAGCGCATGGAACACGTCTCAGCGCAGCTGATGAATTTAAATGTACATTTCAAAGCTTTTTCAGCAATTGCAGTACAAAGTTGTCGCAGCGCACATTTAAAGGAAAAATAAAAATAAGGCAAGCAATTTCTGAGCGACTTTTTGTATGTTACACGACTGACGTTGAGTTTTTAAATTCATGTTGGTGTGTCTCATGGCATAAAGATAAAAGTGTGAGCACGGTCCGTGCACACGTAAATTTAGAGCCCTTTTGACTTCATTTTCCGGCAACAACAACAACAATGAAACAGCAACAGTTCAACTTTCCAAAAGCGAACTTTTCTGAAGCTCAAACTCCAGAATAGTGTTTCCTCTTCCTCTAAAAAACATTTTAGACATTATTAGTATTTGTCTCAAGGGTGGTATTCAAATGAAATTAGTAGCCGAAAAAAGCCGAAAAATATTTGCTACAGATGAAATACAAGTATTTAATATAATTTTTCTCATAGTTATAAAAAATAGTTGGTATTAAATTACTTATGTAAAGCCTGATTCAAACACTTGATACACACATTTAAGTATTTTTTAACTATCTTATTTGTATGTAATAAATGTTTGAAATCATATATTAACAGTTAAAATTCAAGGCTATCAAAAATAAATTTTCCTCAAGACGAAATAAGCATCATTACTAAAGGATTAGATTTAAAGCATTTTTAATATAAATAATTTCTTTCTCTTTGAAATAAGAAAATATTTTAATTCAATCCAAGATTTGCCTTTTGAAAGATAAAGTAATTGGCTGTACTCTTGACAACCTATTGAAAAGAGAAATGTGTAACAAAGGTGTCTAATTATTTATAAATACAGTCTAATATTTTGTATTTCTAAAAAAAGTTTGCAATGTGAGTGTCATATTGCTTTACAATCATAAAAATATTTGACATCGAATAGAGTTTGATAAGTAATTAATAAATAAAAATTCTGGATAGCCCGCTCAGTTTTATATAAATCGAAGCCAGTAATCGAGTCTGTTGTTCATATCATAAGAAAAGAATAGATATAGGAAAATAGTTGAATCATTAAATGTAAACTAACTTCTAAAATATGAAACTAACTTCTATGCCATCGCAAATTTATTATAAAGTAGTTGAATGCTGTGTTTACAAAAAAGAATAGCCACATTTAAATAAATAGCAAGAATTTCTTTATCAGAAGCATGACTGTACTTAACTGCAGCTCCAATTTCTGACTCCCTCTCTCTCTCTTCTTGTGGTTTGCTTGCAGATATGACAAATGGTGGCGTACAAGGACCCATTGAGGGCTATAACTCGTTAGACGAAATGACAACGACATCGACCAGCATGCCCACCATGCCCACCGCCGCCTACACGCATCCAAAATGGATGGAGCCATACTTTGATCCCTCCACGCCTCGCAATGTGACCGCGCTCATGGGCAAGTCAGCCTATCTCAGCTGTCGCGTTCGCAATTTGGGCAACAAAACGGTGAGTAGAGAGTTGAGTTGCGGAGAAAGTTCCCATAAGCGACGTGCCGTGCCGTGCAGTGCTCGGTGGCGGCTTTTGAAGTTGGGACATTGCCGCGTGTCTGTGCCAACAGTGTTTTTCGACCCCCCTCCCCCCATCTTTCACCACCAGCACCCCATCTTTTTTGTCTGCCGCTGCCGTGTGTTTGTCATGGTGCGGCTTAACTTTGGAGCTCATAGTTTGCCGTTGATTTTCCACCTTGGTCGAAAATGTAATTCCCCGTTGGCATGCAAGGCAAAAAGCTTCGAATGAAACTTTGAGCATGGCTGCAAATTTTTTAATTAGTTCTTCATGCCACACACCCTATAGGAAAACAGAAATTTTTCTTCTACAAGTACGTGTATACGAGTATACACATTTTTCTGTCTCTTATTGTTTTGTGTCATGCTGTGCCAGTTTTTACTTAACTTTTGGCATTAAGTTGTTTTGCCTTTCTTCAGCTATTTGCTTGCAAAAGACGCTTCCAAATTTTTGTTTTCTTATAGAAAGAGTGGAGGGACTATTGATTTTTTTTGTCTTTGTTTATCTGCTATAATTGCTGGGTCTCGAAAACAACAGGCGAGCAGCAGGTTGCCTGAACCTCTCAAGGCTTTTGTCTTAGCCTGGCAACCTTTGGCAGCTTCTGTTGAGCATACTTGTACTCTCACTGTCAAAACACAAAACTTCACGCTCTGTGCAAATATTTATAAATACATATATACATATACTTTTCAGCCATTCATTATTTGACATATTCTGTAACATTTAATTACCAGTGGGTGGAAAAGGAAATTGTTGAATGGGACGCAGGACGGTGTGTTTTTCACTTTATCCCTAAATGTGTTAAATGAAATATATAATTGTCGTGCCGTAGACAATTTGAGGGCTCAACTTTTTTAATATGCATGACAAGTTTATGAATAATTAGCAGACACACACGCACACACAGAAGCAAGTGAGATGACAAGAATGTTGCGTTGGAGATTAATTAGAGAACGAACTTGATGAGCAGCACGTGCTGCCTAAGCTCTAATGCCCTAATGTTGTTTTCGTGGTACCTATTTGCATATAGATTCATTCGAACGCTCATTAACACACAATGGGGAGCAAGAAGCAGTTGGGGCTGTACAAACAAACAGGGGAACGATCTCTAAGCTGACCAAACAAACGCGTTCCCTGCCCAGCTGCCGAGCTGCCGAGCTGCCGGCGTCGCCTGTTCTGGCCTGCTCGCTGCTTTGTGCCCCAAATGCGAAAACCAACAAACTTTAAACATGCGCGCTTCGCCACTTGACACAAATGCGCGAGCTCTGCCTCAGAGGCAGTTCTCCAAATGGTGGCAACTGGCAGCGGCAACCATACCAGCTTACCATCAGCTTTTAATTTCTTGCAAAACAAAAGCGACTGCGACTACGACTACACGTTGCCGCACCCTCAAGTGGGTGCGTCCGCACCCTTTTTGTTCGGCCCGCCCACTCATCCGTCCGCCACCTCAACCGCAAGCCTTGCACTTTCAATTGCATTTGAGCGCAAAATTATTTAAACAATTTCATGAAATTGCACTCGCCGCATGCGTCAACAGCACTTGGCGCTGGCAGCGCGACCAAGCGCGCATCCGGTACGGCACAGGATCCAAGTAAGTATTACATCGCATAGTTGCCGGCAGCAGTATTTTGACAGGTGCGCTGGCTCAACTTTTCAATAATCTGTATGATGTTTCTAGGAACTTAATTCTTTGAACTCATTCATCGTTGTTTCTTGTAATTGTGTACTTCCTAACAGAACTTTATGAATTGAAAACTAAAATATCTTTCGTTGCCTTACAATAATGAAGGCGTAGTTTCTAGTTGAAAACGAAGATTATTACTTAATCTAAGGCTTGCAGACTAGTTAGTTGAGTGGCCATTCCAAAATCCAGCTTGTCGAATATCGATTGACTTGTTCTCAGAAGCAAACCATCATAGTTGATTGCCATGATTTTGTCTATGGTCTTTCCCAGAAATAGTTCAAAGCAATAGGGTGATACGAGTTTAGGCTTAGTTTGTTTAATTGAAAATGACTATTTTGCCTTATTTGTGTTTGTTGTTGGAGAATGTAGCTACTATACAATACGGTTCTGAAATAATTTAAAAGACCAGATTTTTCTGACGTTCCAAGTCAGTCGATTTTAATATTGAATTTAAAACTGCCAATGTAAGCTTAAGAGTAAATTAATCAATGCACTACTATTGTATGCAGGTTAAAAAAATACAAGTCTCAAATAAAAATTCATTTAGAAATGCATTTTGGTTAAAAGTCGATAGTCTCCTATTTGCATATTAATATCGAATTGTATTTCATAAAACAAACATGAAGAGGAATCAAAAATAAAACGCCACAAGTTTTCAGAATTCGAAATTTATACGAAAAACGTAATTTTATTCTTCAAAATTCAAGCCTTATTTGCAAGCATTCAATTCTTAATATCTAAACAGATGTTTAAATTTTTAAATAAATTAAAGTTGTGTGCTTAGGTACAAGTTATTAAACAAATTTAAAAATATTGTGGGACATTATTCAGTTTTTAAATGGGGTCTTTGAACACTTGACATCAGTGCTTGGGTAGAATTAATTCATTAATTTTTATATTTTAAAGCACTTGGGATTCATGCAGGTACAATTGACGTGTTTATATTTAAACAGCCCTTTTCAAAACTCATTTATACTTAGTACTTGGTCTGTCTTTTATCTTTAGCTTTTGCTTGTCCTTGAAGTTTGCCTATCTGTGAAAAGAAAACTATAGTTTTCAAATAACTGTACAAAACAGTTATCAAGTACCATTATTCAAATTGAACATTAAATAATTTCATAAGCAAGTGAGGTACGCATCCTTCGGATCCTTTTCCACTTCCTTACGTGCTTCGTGGATGCGGTAATAAGAAATATATTTTTTTTTTCAACATTACAGCGAATTGGGCGAACTATCCGCCATTTATATAAACAAAAATCCAAGTCAATAAAAAAACTGACGGCACTGAGTGTTGGCAGACCCGCACGAGTTGCAACTTCAAGTGGCTTGCAACTGGAGTGAGTTCAGTGCAACGTGTGTGCGGTGCATGTCCTGGAAATGCTCCAGAGGCGTTGCTGCTAATATGCTCGCATCGGGGTGCGCCAACGAGCCTTACACCCTCTCCTCATACGTCTACCCCTTCCACAGAGGCAAACACTCGTTAGACAGGGCGTATGTGCAACGCCACATGGCGTTATGCACACAGCGTGCACTTGTTAATTAGACTTTAATTTGTTAAGTAAAATGTTTATTTAATGCATGTTATGGCCAAAAATTGTCGCCTGCTGATGCCGTCGTTCCTGCTGTTGCTGCTGCTGCTGCTGTTGCTGATGATGATGTTTTTTGTTGCTGTTTTTGCCAAACAGTTCGTTAAATTTCATGTTATGTAATATGAAAAATACACTCATTGCCGACGCTATTGTTAATGCGTAGCTCTCGTAAGTAGGCAACAACATTTTGTATAATTAAACGCACGCTCGCACGAGGAGGATGGACGGGTGAGTGAAGGCCTGAAAACTGGTTCTGCTGCTGCTGCTGCTGCTGCTGCTGCTGCCGCTGCTGCAACCCTGCTAACCAAACACTCATCCCTGGGTTAGACAGCGAGCATTTGCAAGTTTTTGTGACTGTCAAGTGCGATAATTTTGCATTTACATTTGACTTACTAAGTTGGTCGTACGCATCCACATGCTCAACGCCCACTTCGCAAGGGCAACGCTTGGCTGCATTTGCATATCAGCAGACATGGACCTGCATGTGTGGGTGTGGTGTGTGTATGTGTGAACATGGGAGCTTACAAAGTTATTTCTGGCCCATGCTGCCTGTGCTGCTGCTGTTGCTTGCCGCACCTACTTAAAAAGTTTGCTATAATTAAGCAAAGCCAAAAGAGAGCCTTGCCACAAGCAAGCCAAAGGCACACAAGCCACTGGAGCCACTGGCAGTGAACCGCACAACCACCAACCACACACACACACACTCACACAACAACAGCAACAAAACCAGTATTCATCGGCAAATCTGCTGAGATTCCACAAAGCTTTGACGCTATAAACTTGAGCACAGCCAGCACGTCTAATGCACGTCAAAGAAATCCTTATACAGGCAGCTTTCGATATACGAGTATTTTGTTATTGTTGTGGCGCGCCATTTTTTTGTGCCTGTGTCTGTGCGCGGACATATGTAACGACGGTGCCAAGATATGTCACACAGAAGTCAGCATTAAAATTGTGAAGAGCGGCGAGAAAATTAATCAGAGTAAGCCCAAGAGATAATATAGTTGTTTTTGTTGTTTCGGCTGTATCACATCTTTCGACGTTGATGGCATTGCGTCGGCAATTTATTTTTCAATTGCTGCATTTTTAATGCCGTCTTACTTTATTGCACACATGCGAGGGTTCTCTGATAATATATTGGAAATTGCTGTCAATTTGTTCGCCAAACGATCGACACCTTTCGCTCAATATGGTTGTTGTCGATGCCGATGCTAGCTAGGTTTGAAAAAAAAAATAAAAAATAGGGGCTATTAGAATAAGAATAATGAATTCTGGAAACTTTTATGAAAATGTTTGAAAAGACTAGAAAAGACTCCATTTTATTAGCCCAGGCATTAGATACAAATATGTATTTGATATACTTTTCGGGTGTGCTGAAATTTCTCTTAAAATCATGTATTTAGTAATTATGCAAAGAGTCCGCCTGTAATGCTGCATTTTAGAAACCACGTCGATTTAGATATAAATCAATATTAATAAATAACAATAGATGACTTAGGAAATAAATAAAAAAAAAAACTTTAAAAACTGCTTATAATTCGTTGGGTTAACTCTTCGTTTGTATAAATCTAAAGCAATTTCGCGCATACATTTGTATATAGTGCCTTGAGTAAATACGAATTGGTTTAAATTGTTTCAGAATTATAAATTTCAATGTGTTTAATTAACAATTAAATTAAAACTATACCACATGAAAATAATTTTGAAAAGTGGACGCATTGTAGGTAATTTCTGTGTAAAAATAATATGCTTTTCATCGTCGAATTAGCTGTAGAACTTGGGTGACTAGCTTTTTCTTAATAACTTGTGCCGGTATCTGTTTAAATCTTTGAAATGGAAAGAAAAATGTCTACCTCTCCGCTGTTTAATTAGTGTATTTTTGTAGTTGAATGACTGCCAGATGCAGACACAAATGGTTTACTCATTTTCCGGCTTCATCAACAGACAACCCTCGCCTATCTCAAGAATCTCTTGATATCTGAGCATTAAAATGCGTTTGCGTTTTTTAAAAACCACAATTTCTGCATGTTCTTTGTTTGCTTTTTTATTCTGCAGGTCTCTTGGATACGCCATCGTGATATACATATACTCACCGTTGGCTCCTACACATATACGTCCGATCAGCGCTTTCAGGCAACACATCATCAGGACACCGATGACTGGACGCTGCAGATAAAGTGGGCGCAGAAACGCGATGCGGGCATGTACGAGTGTCAGATATCGACACAGCCGGTGCGCAGTTATTTTGTGCGTTTGAATGTTGTCGGTGAGTGCAGGCTATAAAAAATAAACCATTTGTCGCAAATATATAACAAAGGGCAGTCGAAACAACTGAAAGCTGGCCCAAGCCAAGCCAAGCCAAGTCAGGCAAGCTGAGCGAGTGAGTGAGCGAGCAGGAAAAAAAGTTGTTAAGCAAATAAATTACTTGCAGAGCAAACGAAAGCGCAGCACGCACGATTCAAGAAACGACGAGAGGACGACGAGGACTTGGTTTTTATACGACAATAATTCCATTTTATCTCGTAGTTTATTATTCTACAGCGTCAACCCGGCCTCAGTCGCCTGCCCAGACCCAAACGCAGACTCACACCCAGCTTCAGGCTCACAGTCCTACCTACGCGACGTGCCTGGGCCTGAGCCTTAGTCTGAGTCTGAGTCTCTGCCAGCTCTTGGCCATCAGACAACCACTCGCTCGCTTGCTTACTGCTCGTTCATTTTTACAGCGTTTTTCATACACTTCTTCTCTATCTATTTCCTTTTTTCGGTGTCGGCTTTTTGTGCGTACATGTGTGTGTTGGCTGGTGTGTGTGTTGACAGTGCCAACGGCTTCCATACTTGGAGGACCTGACCTTCACGTTGATAAAGGCAGCACCATAAATCTCACTTGCACTGTGAAGTTCAGCCCCGAACCGCCGGCCTACATCTTCTGGTATCACCACGAGGAGGTAATTAAAGTTTATTGTTACATTTTTCCTATAGTTTTTTTGTTGTTTATTTTTCATCTCTATTTCTTTTTGGTACTTTGGAGTAGTAGTGCTTCAGCAAATAAATATGCTGTCATGTGCACTGCATTTTGAGGAATGCGGGTGGAGAAAAAAACGAGCCCAAAAGGGATAAGACTTGAGCAATTTACAAACAGAACATGGTTTACTGACTCGCATGAATGAATAATAAATGCAACAACAAATACAGTTTTAGTGAAATTACTTTCATCCCTGGCTCTGCAGAGTTCACTTTAAATTATTAATAAACATATAGATATGTTTATGTTTATATACCTTTCAAAAATACAAACAGTATTTCTGGCATTAGTTCGCCAAAACATGAGTCGAAATGTAATAAATATCAAGTCTGACCCCGTTTCAGAATTCAAATGAACTATACAAATTAGTTAACTTAGAGTAAGACCGATAAACATATTTTCTTAATAATGTTTTCATTTTAATTTTTAAGGTATTCTAATTTGTAGCTTACTGCATTGTTTTGAGCTTTCTATGTGATTTAATAACGTCATAGCAGGACCATAACTTGCCTGAAGGGCAAATAAAACTCCTGCTATTTGACGAGTCCAATATTTGCAGAAAAGAAGTGTTTTCATTTAATTTAAAAACACTGTCATATAACAGATGTTGCTGGGCAACGGTAAAAATATGTGACACGTTAATTAAGGTGCATGCAGCTAAAAAATAATATAGCATATGATTAAGGGCTGCCAACAACGCAACATTAATCGTTTGTTTTATATTATTTTGTGATGACGGATGTTCACAAGATATTCAAATTAGTTTGTAGTGGTTGTGGTTTATTGAAGCTTAGAAGAACATTGCATTTTTGATTGAATTTGGTATAGAAATAATGTGTGGGCTTTGCATTGATTATGCGACACCAGGGTTCAGGAAGAAATGAAGAGAGTGATAAAGAAATTAAGCCGGTCTTCATCTCTTATCCTAATACGAGAACACAGAATGCGCTTAAAAACAAAAAACTCTTAGTCGGTATCGCCATTTTTCGGTGTCAGGTGAAAGGAGCTAGCTGATTGAAGTAAAATATAAATGTGATAAGTAAAATCTTTTTGTGAAATATAATGAAAGTATTAAATTGAGGATGAAGGTATTATTATTCCCGAACCTTTCATTTTATTTTATTTTAAAAATAAACTAATTTCCCGATTAGCTATTTAATAGTTATCAACGACTATTTGGCTATCGAAGTCATCTTATTCTGAATCATTGAGTCGACATACTTGATTATTGTTTGAGCACCAGATACATATATGTCAAATTATTCGCATTATACGCAAATTCACAGAAACCCGACTCATTATGTGACTCAGTGGCTTTGTCATTATTTAATGTGTCACATGCTTTCATTTGTTTAATTTTTAACGGATGACCATATAGCGTGTTACGATAAGCGCCTTTCACTGTGCCAGAAAAAAGGAGGAAGAGAGAAACACAACAATAAACTGAGCTTCAGGTGACATCGGCTGACATCACATCGCAGCAATATCGTTTTTTGTGCTTAACTTTCGCCGTCACGCCCACTCAACGCCTGCCAATTAGCCGAGCAGTTTTAAGCGATTTAAGCAACTACACACAACTACATAGAGCGTGAGTTGTGGGCAGTGAGAGGTGGAGGGGGATCGGGCTAATTGCGCAGCATTAGAGGCGCTTAAGCTGCCCAACTGGTCGTTGATGTGTAACAGTACATTGCTAATTGTAGTGCAAAGGCAACCGAGAGTGGGAGAGGGAAAGGTAAAAGAATGAAACTTATTTAAATCGTGTACAAAGTGCAATGGCAACGCACACAAATCCTACTCCAACTGCTACACGTCCTGGCAGCTGATGCCTCGCTACCTTACAGCCTTGCAGCCTTGCTGCCTTTTGCCAGCCTTGCCACTTGACGCATTTTAATGTATTCCTGGAATTTTCTAATTAAAATCCTTGCAACACCGCACCGCACAATTCCGCATGTGTGTGTTTGTGTGTGTGAAATACAGCAGGTGTGCCAGGAATTGCGCCGCCATGGCCGCAATCGCCGCCATCGTTCCCGCTGTTGCTGCACACGGATTATTTACGATCCATGCAAATTTGCTGTTAATTAGTTTAATGGATGGATAAAGAAGCTGACGACGCTCTTAAGCAATGGGTGGGCGCACAAATGTTGCCAGCGCTTAAATATATATTACAATATTTTGTTGTTTTTACGTGCATTTCTGCTTGCCAACTGTAATTAACGTGTCACTCAATATCGCCTACGGCAACAGTATTAGTTTAGTCACTGCAAAAACGGATAAGCAAAGAAAATAATATAACTCTCTCACATATTTTTTATTTACTTATTTTCGTTCCATAAACATGTTTCTGGCAACTGATGAAGTACTTAACGAGCTATTAGCTGACTGTCGACGCGAGCTTTTTTCCCAGCAGCTGTTTCTATTCCTTTAAGCCGCTTTTGCGACACGAGGTAGGGCAACCTATTTGTTTGCGCCATTTCGAATTGAGCGGTAGCTTTGCGTGGTTGTTGTGCATTCAATCAGGTAGCTCTTGAGGCCAATATTCCCCTTTTTGCTCAGTCAGATGGGTCGAGTTAATGAGACTTAATTAATTTAATTTTCTTTCATAAATGACTGTGTTGCTTGCAACAATTTAAAGTTAATCATTTTAGTTATTTAATATTATATGTCCCCCAATGCTTGGCTTCAGTTTGGTTTCAAAATTTAACTATTCAATAAAATGAACAAAACTGACTTCTTTGTTTGTAAGATTTTTGTCTTTATCTTTATTAATCCAGAGAATTATTCGAAAGTGATAAATGTGTATTTATAAAATGATAATTGTTGAATGTTTCATTGCCTTTTAATCACCATAAAACTATAATTGGAGATAAAAATTAAAATCAGAAATAAATTGTAAAATAAAACTTTAACATGGCAACATTGAAATCATTATATAGTCAATTAATTTAATCATTTACCCATCGATTATCTCAATGACTTACATCAGAAATAATGTAGGAATTATAGCCACCTATTATTCCTTTATCAGGGGGGTCTCGAATATTGTTTGAATTTATTGAAAGGCTGGCACTTTTGCATTTCCACTGCTGTCCACTACTAGTGGATATCTGTGAGATCTTTCGCTCTCTTTTGTCCCTAGTTTTTGTAATTCATTAAGTGGATTCATATTCGCTGGCCAGTGGTTGGTTGTTATTGTCAAGAAAATAGCCAATATATAATTTATCAGTGTCGCATCGCTGTCACCTAAAGTCGATGCCTTCATTAACTAATTTGGGCCGGGTCTGCTGTGCGACAAAATTATAATATAAATATGAAATTTATGCCAAAAGAGCGTAGAAAATGCGCTGATAGAGCAATAGAGAAGCGAACGTCAGCAATAATAGACAATACACAGACGCTGGAAGACACACAGATACAGATACCAAGCCATAGGCCTGCAAAGTTTTCACTTGCTGTGACAAAGTTTTTGTGCAAAACTTTTGCGCCTTTGTAGCTATTGTCATTGTTTTTTATATCTTCATCAGCAACAGCAACGGCAATATCATCAGCGACAGGCAAAAGAAAAGGCAACGGCAAAAGCAAAGGCAATGGCAATGGGAAGCGGCGGCTAAGTTTTTCTTTCATTTTTCATATTATTGCAAATGTCGTCGATTAGTTGAGATTAGACAGCAAATTATGCTCGACTCGGTGACGGGCGTAGATATATATATATATATATATATATATATATATATATATATATATATATATATAGATATATGTATATATAAATGTATAGTATATGTAGTCTAAAGCAGAGTCAGGATGCCACTGGCTGTGCGGCCCCTTTGCCACTCATTTCCGTTGGCATTGTTGTTGTTGTTGCTGCTGTTGGTGCTACTGCTTCTGCTGCTGTCAACAGCATGATGTGCTAATGCTGTGCCCTCCATTTGCGTTGCTGTCTTGCTCTTTGCTTGACGATGTCATGAACTTTCTGTATTGGCAAATTATTCCCGTATTTGTTTTTGTCAGCACTCCGACCTAAATATGCAACTCAATGTGCTCTACCTACCCCAACACCCCACCGCTTTAATCGATAACGAAGTTGACTTTGATAGCTACAAATGTGCGCTTTGATTTGTCCGCCCACCTTCAATCAGAAATACACACACACACATTCAACTGTTAGCTGCTATAGTAATAATCATAATGAGCGAACTTTCAGCTTCCACTGCTGCGTGTATGTATGTGTGGGTGAGTGCTATCAGCATGGCCAAAAATGACTTGATTATCATAATTTTTGTTGCTTGCCTTGCAGCATGATGTCCCGCCATTGATAATTATTTTTGTAATGAACACAGATGAAAGCTTTTAACCTTCTGTTGAAGTGGTGTTGTTTTTCTTTTACTTTACTTAAAAATCACATTAAGCTGCGAGTTAAATTTAAAAATATTGAAAAAAATATTGGAAAAGGATTCAAAATATATATATTCATAATTCAGACTCTTCTATGTATGCAGAAATGAAATGAATTATGAAATAATATAATTTTACATTTGTAAGCTTCGCACAGTTTTTAAAATTAATTCGCCACGGATTTCTTTATTTTATTACGGTTCATATTTATCTTTTCTGATTCTATCAGTGTGTCCCTACGCCCACGCCGTACCATAATACCCTCTCTATTTTCGATGTACATTTATCGGTGTTAATAAATCTTTGTGCCATACAAGCAAATATTTTGTAAACTTCTTCTTCTTTTAAGTCGCGAGATCGACCGTCAAAGATTCTATACAATTCGGGTCTTTCAAATATTCAGTATTTGATTTTCTTTTGTCATATATTTTTCATATATTTACTGGAAGGAAGATCTTAAACAAAAGATTTATACACACATAAATATATTTATTTGTACTTTTTAAATACAAGCCAATATGTACAGGCCTGCTCCAACTTCTGCAGAATTTTGACGTACTTTTCTTAATTTTGTTTTTGATTCTACTCTTAATTTAATTCGCAATTGCAATATTAGCATATTGTCTAAATTGGAAGGTAGTAACTATTATTGGTATTTATAACTGTTGCTAAAAGTCGTTTCAAATAAACAAGAAATTGTTAGCTATTATTATTTTAATTGACTTTTAATTGCAATAGCAGCCAAAAAGAGTCTGGAAATTAATTTCTATTCTATTATTGAAGAAAGGTGAGGTAGATTGAGCAGCGGTATTGCCGCCTGTCGCTTAACGCGTCCATCAAATTCCAATTAAAATCACAATTTCAAACAAGCAGAAAGTAAACAGGATGCGCTGACATGTCCCGTTGATGTCGCTGATTTGTAATGTCAGTCAAGCGCAGCTGTTGGCTGTCAAGAGCGGCTCTCAACAAACTCACACGTAGTATTTGAATTAAAAACGCTAAATAAAATTTCAAATAAAAACGTCTGACAGCAACTACGAAAATTGCGTATTATGTACAGAGGGCACGAAGTAAGCCTCATTGATTTAGCATTATGTGTGTTTCTCGCTCGGGCAGACCCCCATTCTGTATCTCTCTCTGTTTTACATTTGCAGGTCATTAATTATGATTCATCAAGAGGCGGCGTGTCGGTAATTACCGAAAAGGGCGATGTGACAACATCGTTCCTACTCATACAGAATGCAGATTTGGCCGATTCCGGCAAATATTCGTGCGCACCCTCCAATGCAGATGTTGCCAGCGTGCGTGTGCATGTCCTAAATGGTAAGTGCCCCCCACTTTTTTAACCCACACTCTAAACGCAAATACACAAATACACACACACACGCCTCAACTCATACTCAAACATTTAACAGAAGTACTCGTACATTGTTCAACAATTTTGTGCCTGCGTGCTGCGCCAAAAAGTGTTGCATACTTGTAGGCGCCGGTTGTAACAGGCAAACATTACACACACACACACACGTGCAGCATCCCACCGTACAACAAAAACAGCAGAAAAATTTCACAAATGACAATTGTAAAAGCGTTACATTAACTCGTGAACGAGCTGCTGGTTGTGCTGCTGTTGCCTCTGTTTTCTGGTATTTCTCTCATGTTACGCATACGCCAGGGGGACCCAACGAACAATAGCGCGCATTGTGAAGTACATATGTATAAACGGTACGTATTTATATGAATAGTGGCATGGCAAAAACATTCCAGAATGTCAAATAGGTTGGCATTGTACAGTGTAGTTTTAGCTATGAATGTCAGTGGAAAGGGAAAAGATATTCGCAATTTGTAATCGAGTAGATAGTGCAGCTTTTAAAAACCTATACGTATTATTTCCCCACCTCTTCATCAATTAGAATAATTATTTGTAACATCAATTTACGGCTATGATGCAATTTTATGTCGTTGTTCAAAATTTTACAAAAATGTAAATGTATGTCGAAAAGATGGAGAAATTAAATTAGTTAATATACGCTTTTAAGGGCTAAGCGACGATTTTAATAATAATAATTTTAATAAGGTTAAAAAACGTGATTATCTGACGCCGACACCCTTAAATAATGATCGTGCAAAGGTTTTCACATATCACCTACGTAATGATTTACGACTAGACTGGTTTAAGGTGTAAACAACGAAATAAAGTGTGTTTAGGAATATGTAAAATCTTATTTAATGTTTACAAAAAACGCTTAAGGAAGTTTTGTTAGGTAATTTAATTGCATTGAATAAATCTGAAGGATATTTCTTTTTGTATCTTCGGCAAACTTTCTGAAATATGTTACAATTTTGAACTTTTTATTAATTAACCGTGTAAGCTGCATAAGCTTAATTTTCAAATGCTCTTCGAACCTATTTATGTAAAATAAATAAAGCATTCTCTTAGTTAAGTGGATTTTCATTCAAGACTATGAGTGGATTTTCACTCAAGACTATGAGTCTATAATTTGCACTTGCATTTCATTTTCGCCAATATCTCCCTGACACTTTCTCTTTGTGCCAAATATATGTACATACGTACTTCCGCATTCATTACCTCAAAGATTTAAGTTAAACAGTTTGACATGAATAGGGCGAACCTCGTGTTGCTTGACACTTAAATGTGAAAGGCAGCACATAAATATAAAAATTTTACAACCGACAAATATTAATAAATTGTGGGTGGCGGGCAAAGGACAGTAGTGACACGAATTGCGGAGCAATTGGTTTGATTTCCACAAGGACCCGGACGAGGACATCGAGTAAACTTACCAAACAACGAGACAGTCGAGTCAAGCGAACAAATAAACAAACATACCCTTCAACAAGCGAACAAACAAATAAATGGAACAAGTACTGGGCAGTTGCTTAAGAGAAGGGCCCGGCTGGTCAACCAGCGCCCATGTTTATGTGCCTGTCAAATGCTAGCCCTTTGTGCCAGACGACGACCGCACGTTTGTTTTCGATCGTCCGGCAGTCCTCCAACTCAGCAATCCACCAGTCGACCAGTCTTCCAGCTGGCCGTAACCCCGAGGCGCCAGTTGCTGGTTCGTGTTTGGCACAAATGAAACACATAATCGCATCAATTATGAGCAAATTAATTAGCACAGTGCGGTTAATTGCAGTCAAATGGCAAAGTGAGTGGCAGCCCACCCAGTGCCCAACGTCCAGTACCAGTCCCAGTTCAATTTCCCAGGACTTGGCCCCATGCACGCCTCAAATACAAGGCACGCTTGCCGCTTATAAATTGCAGCTGGCTGCGGGGTTTGTTTTGCCGTTCTTGCACAGTGTTACTTAAGCTTTTTTATTTCCTATTTATCCTGTGGAAAAAATAGGAAAACGATTTTCCTCTAAGGCCAATTGTTAACATGCTAAAGTGTTTTCATATTGACAAAATGGAAACAACCATATTTTGTATTCATGGCATCGAACAACTTTAATAATCTTCGTATTATAATATTGAAAGTTAAACAATATTAAACGAAAAAAGTTAGGGTAATATTTAATATACGTAGTTATAAATAGATATGTATATCGTTAAATAATGAATAAGTATTTTATAAAAGATCTCTATTTAACTTATTAACTCTTATTAACTCAACAATTTTAATGGAATCGGTAATACGTTGTAACACATTTTAGACTTTTGCATGTAAATGAATGGAATATTAAATATAATTTATCTTTATAATTGTATCAAAAGATTTTATTATAAACATTAAAAACATTTTAAAATTATCTTTTAATTTCTTTTTATATAACTCGATATTTGAATGACACATACGAGAACGCGTGTATCAATGTCTTACTTTTCTCACCTGAATTTTATTGCCAGTTTTCTTGATATTGATACCGTCTGATTCAATTTTTTTTTGTGTATTTGATAACCTATAATATAGGTCTATATAAAATTAATTGTGTTTGGAAAACTGACAACTTTTTGTAATGCTACATATTTATTACTTTGTACAGTTTTGTCATAAAATGTCTCAAAGATATATTCTTTAATGTGGAAACGTTTAAACCTATTTTTAAAAGTTAACAATTTTTACCCATAAATTGAGTGAGAAGGCCTTCGTTGCTTAACTTATTTAAGTCCATTCATTATAAATATACATTGCATACAATGCATTTGAAAAACAAGTGTATTAAATATTGGCAATATTAAATAAATAACTAAATAAAATAACATAACATAACATAATATATTTCTTGTTTATATATTGTTGTTCATCAATCATATCTAGATAAAACCGATTGCATAAGTACTATATAAGGTCTGCTCACTTTTGTGTTTTTAATCTTAAATAACTTATTCATGTTTTTTATTTAGTTTTTATTATTTGGTTGGAAATAAATAAAATGTACACAATTAAGATTCTCCCAACGTGTCAGCAATATTTTTAAAAATAGTATATATTTTTTAACGATGGTATATATTTCCGCATGATATCTGTCCACTGAAAAGATGTATGTATAAATAAATCAAAACATTTCTAACAAGCTTTAAGCTTTTTAAACGGAATTCGTGTACCTCTGGATTAGCTAATGACCACACTGTGCATTATTCACTAGTGAGTTGAATTCGGTTTGGTTGCCTGCAAGGAATTGTAGCAATTTGTTGAGCATTATCGCTCGGTGATCGGCGGTATGTTGTGGATTTGGCACAGTTAAAATAAATTACGTAATTGTAAAGGGCAACAGCGACATTGACAACAACAACAACAGTAGCAACAATGGCAATGACAAAGCGAGCTCTGACATACAATTTTAAACACTCGTGGTTCGTAGCTCGCAGCCTCTCGCCGTATTGTCGTAGGTTTTTCAATCATGCTAACCAGGGCGCCATGGTGACTAGTCGCCGGCCAGCGACCGCAAATGGACCGCAAAATGGCAACGTGCGGAAATCCAGGCTGCCAATGCTATTCGCATTCACATTCACATTCGCATTCACATTCTCATTCGCATCGGATTCTCATTCCCCTTCGCATTGCCGGTCATTGTAAATGGCTGCCTGCATTTATGCATTGACCATTGACTCATGAATGCATTCAGGAGTGCCAGACCAAATGGAATGACTGAATGGCCATACATTCGTTTACCAGATGTGTTATAGAGCTGACCACTTTGGCAGGTGCATAACAAAATAATGCAAAAGCCAATATCCACAGTAGTAAAATATTCAAATTAGTCAATGTGTTTTGTATGCGAATAGCCAAAGAATTGGCCATATGTGGTTGTCACAGTTGTATTTGTTCTCATTGGTTTTTAAAGACAAAATAGGCTTTTATGAACGGTCTACGAAACTGGCAACTTCATAGCCCTTCTGTCTTTATATGTACATCCATTATTGCCAGCGGCTTCACCAAAGACTGCGCAAATTCTGACTGGATTTGATCGACAGCATCGTTTGCTATTGTGCTGCTTTCAGCTTTCAATTCAATTCAATTCAATTCAGTTCAGATTTTGAGCTGTCAGGCAACGGCCACAAGTATGCTACACATGTTGGCACAAGTTATGCGTATTATGCATCTATCCGTCAGCAATCGAACGCAACCGCACATCCATCGGTGCGGCCATAGCGCGAAGCTGCCTTTCAGTGACCGAGACCGCAGCGTGGTTGTTGTTGTTATTGTTATTGTTCTTGTTGTTATTCCAACTGCGGCTTTTTGTATACTGCAAGAAAGGGAATGGTTATTAGCCAGCCCGTGAATCGATGATATTTGGGGCATTTTAAAAAGGCAGTAGGCACATATATATGTCATGTTCAGACCCTTATAACTACATTAAAATGTATAGCTTTAAGAAGCTTTAATCGTATATTTTACTTAGACATTTTTGGCTTGTTACTTACAACAAAATATGATACTTACAACTAAAAACATTTCTTTTTAAATATTAAATTTAAGACAGTACTGAGAGGAAAAGAGTAGAACGGAGATTGAAGCGCCTACCGCCAAGACGCATTTTTAGAGAGGACTTTGGAAAAAGTGGAAGAACGGTATGAGACATAAGCATTAAATTGAAAAACAAAATAAAAGATATACGAACTATAGATAAATATCTAGCAATAAATTTCTACAGAAACTGTAAACCCAATCTTTCCAAAATAATTTAATCGAATATCTCATTCTAATATTTTTATTTATAACCTGTAGCTGCCAAGACAAATTGAAGTTTCGTTTCAAAAAGTACTAAGACGGTTACTAAAGTTTTTGATTTGGGTTTTCATTCAATTTAGTATTTCTCGCTGTGTAGCTGGTGTCCCTTGTTATCAATTCACGATGTAATTC